TTTGTTTCTATTTAGTTTGAAATTAAATGACTCTGTATATATATAAACCATGAGAATTAATACATACGGGAGACATGAATAAGAAAAACCTCTCCAAAGTCAAAATAATTTTGAGAACTTGAAAATATTTTTGTCCAAAGACAAAACAAATACTTGGCTCAGAACTAATACTAGGCGTTGAACTTTGAGCAGATTTTTTTTAAAATATATATATATATATATTGGAGGCGAAGCAAAATTCTCAGCTAGCAATGTCCAAATAATAAAAAGTTACAATGGTCTGAACGTGTGGAGATGTACTTTTTGTTTCATAGAGATTCAAGAAGTCAATTGCTCTTTTTGTTCCATGGTAACGGGTTTTGCCAATGTTAGATTGCTACAATCTTTGAGAGTTTAAGGGCGTATTTGAAAATGTATTTAAAATAATTGAAAATATTTTTTTGAAATATTTTTTGAACCAATTCTCAACAAAAATATAAGTAAATTTTGAAGAAAAAAAAATACTTGTGCTTACTGCAAACATATAAGTAGTGTTTCTAACACAAAAGCACTTAGTGCTTCCTTGTAACCCAAAAAATATTTTTTTTTCTAAGTTCTAAGTTGTTCAGAAATAAGCTAACAATTTGTATTCTGGTCCAAAAATCTTTACCAAATAACGTTAGAGCGAAAAATATTAATGTTAAGTAGATCGAAAGGCCTTATATTGATTCGTTCCGAATTGAACGGTTGATAAAAACTTGAAAGTTAGGTAAAGGAGAAATCGGAACCTACAGTTGCAAGTAAAAATGGGACCACTTGGTTCAATAAAAAAAAAGTGTTTGCTACTCTCTCTCTCTCTCTCTCTCTCTCTCTCTCTCTCTCGGTCTTTCCTCTTCTCCTTCTTTGTCCTCTCTTAAAGTTAAAATTCTAATATAAATAATTGATAATGTCGAAGGTAATTCAATTAATTACAAGCACATGTTTTTCAAATGCGAGATTCATACTCAACACGCTCTCTTACCTGTAATGAATTTTCAAGTCTAGTATGTGGACAAGATAAATCGGATGACGTAGAGCACATGTTGCCATTAGACTTTACACATGGAACTACTAAGTTTTGATACCATAAAGAAAGTTGAGATTCTATTATAAAACTAATTGACAATATAAGGAATAGTCTAATTACTTTTAAGCACACACAATGCCTCTCCTTTTCCTGAAATAATATTCTCAACTGAGTAGTGGTAGGGCTGCAGGAATGGAGAAGAATGAAGAGTGTTGAGACCCATTTTAATTGGTTATCTTTTACCATTTATGTTTAACCTGCAATTTTAATCGAAAAAAAAACGAAGAGATTATAGTATCCAATATTACATAGTACTAAGGAAAAACTCAAGTTAGACAATGAGCTAACAATTATACCAAACTTTCATCAATTTATCTTAGTATGTATCACTTAATAGTTGGAACTTCTTGTTGAAGATGCTGAGTGTCATTGAGTACGTATCAATGAGCTTGTTGTTGAAGATGCTAAGTATATGTTGCAACTGGTCGTTGAAGCTTCTGCTTCACACATAAACCACCAAGGAATCTCTATAGCTCATTGGCTTGCCCGTTTTGCCCTTCATTCTTGAGGTGATTGTACTTGGTTAGGTGAACCCCTTACTCTAATTTGTGATCTACTTGAGAAGAATAACTTGTTTTTTTCTGTACTGAGTAGCCAATTTCTTTAAATGAAATCTGTGTTGTCTTTTATAGAAAAAAAAATATATATACATATATATATATATGTGGTTTTCATGTCATGAGAGAAGTTAGGCGATATTAGATTAGTGACCATGACATAAATTTGTACATTCTTTAGCAAAGGCGAAGTGTTAAACGCGACCCCTGTTACATATTTTGAGATGTACTGTAATGAGAGTCTTGCATGTCATCATTAAGATTTGAATGAACGCCATGTACTTAAACTGCCTAATTTTTCTACTTTACATCATTTCATGTGAGTTGGGAGGGAAAGAAACTAGAAGTCCGTAGTACATATTATTAACCAATGACACTTGTCAGTTGTCAATTGGTAAAATGTAAAGGCTTGTTATCATTCATTTAGAAATACAAAGACTTCAGAAAATTCTTCATTTCTAAGGCATTCATTATTCTCTATTCATTTCTTCAAGGCCTGATATCTGTGGAAATTATGGAAGAGAATGCTTTTTCTCATTATGTTTCTCTACAAGATTACAAGGATATATATACATGATACAAGTGTGTAGGTAGGACAAGGTAGGACGGCTGTAGGACGGCTTGACGGCTGTAGGACGGCTTATTCTTCCAATACTCCTCCTCAAGCTGGATCAAGGAGGTTAATTGATCCAAGCTTAGAGAGCAGACTTTGAAACTGAGGAGAAGCAAGAGACTTCGTGAAAATATCAGCAAGTTGATCTTGGCTTCGAGTGAATGTGGTTTGAATTACCTTGGACTGGACTTGTTCCCGAACATAGTGACAGTCAACTTCAATGTGTTTGGTGCGTTCATGGAACACCGGATTGGAGGCAATATGCATAGCTGGTTGATTGTCACAAAAAAGAGACATAGGTGTGTTGATTGAGAACCCCAAGTCCGAGAGAAGGCCCTTGAGCCAAATGAGTTCACATGCAGTGGAAGCCATGGCTCTATACTCAGCTTCGGCACGAGGTTTGCTCTTCCATGTCACGAGGTTTCCTCCAACCAACGTGCAGTAGCCAGTAGTGGATTTTCTATCAATAGCATTCCCTGCCCAGTCAGCATCGGTGTAGGCAATGATTTGAGTATGACCATTGTTTTTCATGACGATTCCCCAACCAATGAAGCCTTTAAGGTATCTGAGAATTCTTTTAACAACATTTAAATGAGCTTCAGTGGGTGCATGCATGAATTGGCTTACAAGACTGACGGCGTAAGTTATATCCGGTCTGGTGATGGTGAGATATATAAGCTTACCCAGCAATCGTTGGTAGTAACTGATATCACTGAGAGGTTCTCCTGTCAAGTCCAACTTCAATTTGCTATCAAGAGGAGAACGAGTTGGTTTGCAATCCATCATCTTCACTTCTTGAAGTAAGTCAATCACATATTTCCTTTGACTCAAAAAAAGTCCCTTGGGGGAAGTGGCCAGTTCAATCCCAAGGAAGTATTTTAAAACTCCTAAGTCTTTAATGGCAAATTGTTGATGAAGAGAATGTTTAAGAGTGTGAATCTCATCAATGTTATCACCTGTGATGATGATATCATCAACATAGATTAGTACAACTAATTTGCCAACTGATCCTATTCGAACAAACAGGGAGGAATCAGCATGACTTCTCTTGAACCCAAAATTTTCAAGTACCGAGCTCAGTTTGGCATACCAGGCACGAGGAGATTGTTTCAAGCCATAGATTGACTTATGAAGCTTGCAAGCCATACCTGAATTCTGTGCTGGTGGATGACCCGGGGGTAGTTGCATGTAGACTTCCTCTTCGAGGTCTCCATGTAAAAAAGCATTTTTTACATCCATTTGGTACAATGGCCATTCATGGTTCACTGCAACAGATAACAAAACCCTTATTGTGCTCATCTTAGCCACGGGAGCAAATGTCTCCTTATAGTCCACTCCAAAAGTTTGAGTAAAACCGGGAGCCACCAATCTTGCCTTGTGTCGTTCAATTGAGCCATCAGAATTAAACTTGATTTATAGACCCACCGACTGCCTACCACATTCTTGCCTTTGGGAAGTTGAACTACACTCCAGGTTTTATTTTCATTCAAGACTTTGAGTTCTTCTTCCATGGCTAGCCTCCACACAACTTGACGATTGGCTTCTTGAAAGTTCCTTGGTTCACTTTCATAGGACAGTTTACTGAGGAAGACTGCATGAGAGTGAGAGACTTTGGAGTAATTTACAAACTTGTGAATAGGGTACCTTGCATGGTAAGTTTCATAGTCTTGCAGCCTTGATGGTGGATGTCGATCTCGAGTCGGATTCCTGCGGGGTTAAGCTGGGATCACAATAGGTTCAGCTCCACTCTCTTGTATAGATGTTGTGTTATGGTCATGGGGAACTACTTGTGCTTCTGTGGCTTCAGTGTCGTCTCCAATAAGCAGGTTGTCATTAAGAGTTGCATAAGAGTCCCGGTTGTGAGGTAGTGAATGGACACAGTCACTTGGTTCGACTAGATTTGGCAATGGGAAGAGATCTAGGAAATGCTCCCCCTGACGATTTTGATCTGATGATTTGTTGAAATATGGTTGGTTTTCATCAAACCGTACATCTCTTGAGACAAACATCTTCCTGGAGCACGGATTGTAGCATTTGTACCCTTTTTGGGTGGAGGAGTATCCCATGAAAACACACTTGACAGCTTTGGGATCAAGCTTGTCTCGGTGATGGGATTGAATATGAACATAATAGGTACATCCAAAGATTCTCAGATGGGAAAGATTAATTTTTTTGTTTTGCATAACCTCAGATTGGATCTTCCTCCAAGGGCAAGAGATATTGATCTGGACCATGGAAGATAGTTAAACTCATTTAACAACACAGAACACAAACGTTGGTTTGGGTTGACTTCAGCTTCTGGAAAACTAGGGCGAGGAGCTGTGAAGCTTTCAGCTTCTGAGCCAAAAAGATTATCTTCTGCCATTATCGAAACGAATGTGCAAAAGAAGAGAAGGGACAACAATGGAGTCAGGCCGGTTAAGGTTCCGGCTCTGATACCATGTGGAAAATATGGAAGAGAATGCTTTTTCTCATTATGTTTCTCTACAAGATTACAAGGATATATATACATAATACAAATGTGTAGGTAGGACAAGGTAGGATGGCTGTAGGACGGCTTGACGGCTGTAGGACGGCTAGTGTGTAGGTAGGACAAGGTAGGACGGCTTGACGGTTGTAGGACGGCTGTAGGACAGCTTGACGGCTGTAGGACGGCTAGTGTGTAGGTAGGACAAGGTAGGACGGCTTGACGGCTGTAGGACGGCTTATTCTTCCAATAATATCTAAGTGTTATGATGGTATCATCACCGATATGGCTCGTCGCTATTCCGATCCTTGACGATTCTTCTGTTGCTCTGTAAGTCGTGGTTTTGCTGTTCTGTGAGTCGTCACCTCGTTGCCGCTGGAAAGACTCAACGCCATTTTGCAGCCTTGACGATTCGAAGGAAGTCTGCGCTCTCTGATTGTCAAAATTGATTCAGGTGATATCTTTTTCTAGTTTTGGAGGATATTTTGATCATGGGTTCTTGTATTTTTGGAATTCTTGAAGAAATTGTGCAGTTCTATGAGATTTGCTATGATGTGATTATATAGAGTAATGTTCATAGATTGCTGTTGAAGAAATAATGGTGAAAGTTGTATATTAAAGAAAGTGTTATTCTTTTTTGGTGTTTTAGGAAAGTGTCAATCTTTCTTGGTGATTTAGATAAGTGTCAAACTTTCTTGGTAAAGAGTTTTAATCTCTTCGAGTAATGCAGTTGTTTCGATTGAAAAGAGTGTTAATTTCTTTTTGATCATCACGTATTGCTATTTTTGTATCTGTGTTTTGATTAAAGATGACTACTCTGACTATTAAAGTAGAAAATTTGTTCGAGATGCTTACTATAAAATTGAAGATGATAATTTCACCAAATGGGCGTTTTAGTTTAAGGCTGTGTTAAAGGGTTACAAATTGTTTGGTCACTTTGATGGCACTGATGTGTGTCCACCAAGATTTGTGATAAATACGGATCTTGGAGTTACTGAGGAGGTTACTGGGGCTTATATTGATTGGGAGTCGACTGACATGGCTTTATTAAGTCTTTTGCTTGCAACTCTATCAGATGAGACTATGGAATATGTTATTGGGTGCAGCAAATGAGGTCATACAGCAGCAAATTGTTTTCACAGAAACACCAATACTTTTTCTACTGGTTGATGGTCGAATGCCAAATTTGTGGGAAGAGAGGTCATGTTGACCTTGATTGTTATCAGAGAAGCAATTATGCATATCAAAGTCAATCTCCTCCATCTTCAATAACTACAATGAATGCCCAATAGTCATCTCAATTCATGCCCATTGATTCATGGATAGTCAATTATGGTGCTTCTCACCACATGACAGCTGATGTCAATGCCTTGGCACAGGTTGCTCCATATGAAGGAAAGGAAAAGATCACTATTGGTAATGGCACAAGCATATCTATCAAGAACATTGGTTCCACCACTCTTCATACAAAGGATCACTCTCTATTACTTACTAATGTTTTACATGTTCCAAAGATTGCTAGAAGTTTGTTGTCTGTTAAACAAATACGTGCTGATAACAGAAGTTGGTTTATATGTGATGAATCAAACTTTTTTTTTATAGCATAAGAAGACAAAGGAGATTATGTATCAAGGAAAGAGTAGGCCTACGGAGTTGTTTCAAATCCCAGTTTTTCACAGTGCTAAAGGTGTGCAGTCTACAGTTGCAAATCCAACAGTTTTCCTTGGTCAAGTGGTGAAGTCAAGTGTGTGGCATCAAAGGTTGGGTCACCCTACAAATGAAGTTCTTACTTGTATGCTAAAACAATGTAGTATATCGTATAATACAAACAATAAGAGTAGTGTACTACCCTTAAAAATTTTAAATATATGATTATGTGGAATTTTTTTTGAAAGTGAAATGCCCTTATTTGGTTAAGGTAATTTTACAAGGACGTATTTTATTCTCGCATATTTTATCATATTTCTTGACATATCTGGATAGATGACAATTCCACGAGCGTATAGGCGGAAGCTGTTTGCGACTCCGGATTATAACGGTATAGTTTCGGACATTTGAAATTGTTTTACTAAACCATAGATTTAATTTAATTAAACTTCCAATAGGTGGGAGTGAGAACTAATCAATGGCTTGGATTCAGCCCAATCAATTAAAGGGGTTTCAATCAGATTATGAAAAGGGAGGCAGGAACCAATCAGGGAAAAAAAAAAGGAATGAAATGAGAGAAGAAGGAGGGGGAAGAACCGGGTCACCTTTCGACCTGCGCCTTTGAGCTGTTTCCTCCATAACTTTTGAGGTTTTCCATCAGATGATCCATGAATTAGACCAAGCTACCATTCCCAAACATCATCTAGCCATTCCCTCTTCCTTTTCCACCCCAGATTTAGAAGAAAATTGTTGTAAATGGGTGGAGAACCCTTGGTGGGTGCGACGGGTTCGTGCAAGAAATCCTAAAATCCTGAAGCTATTCCCACCAATTACCACCACCATTAGACTCCCCATAAGGCCTTGAACAAAGCCTAAGCCTTGGTTGGGGCGGCGGAGCACTGGAGGTGGTGGATCGAGGTCACCCAATTTCTAGGGTTCCGGCAGTTCGTGACCAAATTCAGGTACTTTCAGGCTGAATTAGACCTCGGCTCATGTATGAAAAATGTGCCTCTCCTTGAGTTGTACATTCCTGCAAAATTTGGTAATTTTTTAAAATAATTGAAATTTTCTGGCGAGTCATGGAGGCCGATCACCACGCACGGCTGCACATGCAGCGGCGCGTAGCCAGTGAGCCAACGCTACCATTTTATGTGTATTTCGATATACTGAAACCATATTTGATATGCATTTGGTATGACTCACTTGTTTGAACCTAGTTAGTGATTGTTGGCCACTTGAATGATTTTCAGAAATAAGTTAGAAATTGAAATTGTGAACTAGGAGTGGCTTAATCCTTTTGTAGGATACGTAAGTAGTCTAACGAGAAGGTTAGATGCAGCCATAATAAAATAACTAAGATTTAATATTTTCTTGGAAATTGTCTAAGAAAAGGAATTTGGTGATCATCTTCCGAAATAAATTTTAGGCCTGTCTTAGTTTTTGCTTCCAAATATAAATTTTCGGGTCGTTACAAGTAGTATGTGTACATCATGTATTCAAGGCAAGATGTCTAGATTGCCATTTCCAGAAAGAACTGACAAATGTTTGTCTCCTTTTGATAAAGTTCATACTGATATCTGGGGACCTTCTCCCATAAAGTCTTTAGATGGCTATAGGTATTATGTATTGTTTGTTGATGAATATACAAGATACACTTGGGTATTTCCAATGGGCAATAAATCAGATGTCTTCTCTATTTTTGTAAAGTTTTATCAGTTTGTGTTGACTCAATTTGGAGTGTCTATCAGTTGTTTGCAAACAGATAGGGGATGAGAGTACATTAATATGGCATTTACAAAGTTTTTGAGTGATAAGGGAATTGTTCAGATGCTGTCATGTCTATATACCCCTCAGCAAAATGGCCTTGCTAAGAGGAAACACAGACATATAATTGAAACTTCAATTACATTACTTACCAATGCTGGTTTATCATTTGAATTGTGGTATTTTGCATGTGCACACTCAATATTTCTTATCAATCGAATGCCTTGCAAGTCTTTGTCTTCGGTATCAACTTATACTTTATTGTACAAGAAACTCCCAGATTTAAAGTTTACAAAGACATTTGGTACTGATGTATTCCCTTGGCTTCGCCCTTACAATTCTAACAAGTTGCAGACAAGATCAATGTTGTGTATTTTTCTTGGATATTCTCCAGATTATAAAGGTGTCATATGCTATGACTTAGAGACCAAGAAATGCATTATCTCTGGACATTTCATACATGATGAGATGATATTTCCGAGTAAACAAAGATCACAGATTCCAGTCAATAGTACAGATAGCAATCAACAAGTTGAACATTTACCAATTTTGGTTCCAATACCTATCACTTAGATTCCAAGTGATCCTGTAGTTACTTAGACAACTAGTGATAATGATGGAGCTACATCTTCTTCAATGAGTCATTCTGAGAGATTGAGTTTCAGTTCAAGCTCCAGTTCAACGGGGAATTTTCAGAGTCAAGATAATGTCATGCAAGGTGCATCAGGCCATACTCTTTCCACAACAAAGGATACAACTCCTTTGTTTCCTGTCTTCAGTCCAGAGCAACTTCAGGTGATACTTCCATTCTCCATCCATTACAAAAATACAACAATATCTGGTCCTGCACATCATAATTCTAGGATTCAAACAAGGTTACAAACAAGTGTAATTTCAAGGAAGAATTATGCATCATATTTAGCAACTTTACCTGAGATAACTTCTTTGGATATTATGGACAATTTCTCGAGTGGTTTCTCATTCTTGGCTAATGTAAATGATATAGAAAAGCCTAAGAACTTTAAAGTTGCCAGTATCAAGACAGAATAGCAAATAGCTATGCAAGATGAATTTGATGCCTTAAAAGCACAAGGTACTTGGTGTTTAGTTCCTCCTCATGTTGACAAAAGCATTATTGGAAGCAAATGGGTATATAAGATTAAGAAGAATCTGGATGGATCAATTTCCAGGTACAAAGCAAGGTTAGTTGCACAAGGGTATAGCCAAGAGCAAGGTTTGGACTATTCTGAAACATTTAGTCCTGTGGTAAAGCGTACCACTATGAGGATGATACTTGCTTTAGCAGTTCAATTTGGTTGGAATTTGAGGCAATTAGACATTAAAAATGCTTTTTCACATGGAGACTTAGAAGAGGAAGTGTATATGAAGTAGCTTCAGGGATTCATTGACTCCAAACATCCAAACTACGTCTGCAAGTTAATCAAATCACTTTATGGTTTGAAACAAGCACCATAAGCCTGGAATTCAAAGTTCACTAGTTACCTACCTACTTTGGGGTTTGTCACTTCATTATCTGGTACAAGTCTATTTGTGAAAGAAGATCATGGGGATGTTATTATACTCCTATTATATGTTGATGACATAATTGAGATTGGTTCTAATGCTTCCAAGATTCAATTTGTGATTACAAACCTTGCTACAGTTTTTTATCTTAAAGATATGGGACAACTTACCTATTTTCTTGGTCTGCATATACAATATAATCATGATGGTTCTATATTCATCAATCAATCTAAGTATGCAAGGGATTTGTTGAAAAAGGCTGGTATGGAACATTATAAACCTATATCGACACCCTCAAAACCTTATACTCAGTTACTTGTGACTGAAGGTGTACCACGGACTGATCCTATTTTTTATAGAAGTCTGGTGGGTGCTTTACAGTACCTAACATTTTCTAGGCCTGATGTAGTCTATTCGATGAATGTGGTTTGTCAGTTCATGAACAATCCAACAGATTTGCACTTTCATTTAATCAAGTGTTTTCTGAGATACTTACAAGGTACTATTACTTGTGGTTTGAAATACACAAAGGGGGATGATATGTCGATAACAGCCTATTCAGACTCAGATTGGGCAGCTAACATGAATACTAATAGGTCAATAATTGGATATGTGGTGTACATAGGCTCTAATCCTATTTCAGGGTAGTCAAAGAAGTAGTCCACTATCTCAAGAAACTCAACAGAGGTAGAATACAAGGCTATAACTCATTATGCAGCTGATATTTTTTGGATATAATCATTGCTCAGAGATATACACCAGTTTCTTCCAACACCTCATTCTCTTCACTATGAAAACTTGTCAGCACTTTACATCTGTTCAAATCCTATGTTCCATTCAAAGATCAAACACCTAGATATTGATTACCATTTTGTGAGGGAGTAAGTACAAAAAGGTGATTTGTGTGTTCCATATATTCCCACAGAAGAACAAGTTGCAGATGTTTTAACTAAAGGATTGCATAGTCTTATATTTGTCAAGCATTGTCACAACTTGAGCTTGGATTCATAGTCTACACACACCAGTACTATAATTGAGTGATTGTGTTTGATTTCAAACTCTGCTAGCAGTTTCCTAGCACAGTTTGAGGGGGGAGTATTAACCAATGACACTTGTCAGTTGTCAATCGGTAATTACTATCACTCAATTAGTTAAGATTGTTAGAGAGTTAGATAGAAAGGGTACTATTGTAATCATCCATATATTGGGGGTACTATATAACACAATGTAAAGGCTTGTAATCATTCATTGATAAATACAAAGACTTCTGAGAATTCTTCATTTCTAAGGCATTCATTATTCTCTCATCATTTCTTCAAGGTCTGATATCTCAGTGTTATGACATATGTCAAATTAAATATGTTTATCAAGTCTTTGATTTTATTTATTTTACTGATATACATATATACATATATGTGTGTGTGAGAGACAATTAGGGTATGTATTATAGTAAATTAGGTTCCTATCTCTATTTTTCCTACTCCATTGATTAAACCCTTATTCATTTTCAATTTTGTTATCAAGGTCCTTAGATTTTAATAAACATCATTAATTATTTTAATAATAAAATATTTTTTATTTCTAAATATATTCATTTAGTATTAGAAGCGTTACATTTGGTATATTTATATTTATATCTAAATTTTTTATCATATATTTTTATTTTTATTTGTACTCATTTTTAATTTGCACCTCTTTTTTTTTTGTACCAATTTTCTTTTCAGTTTTAATTTGTACTCATATATTAATTCTTTTTATGCCCATATTTTTAAACTTTTATTTGTATTTGTACCCATATTTTTTAATTTATTTGTACCCATTTTAATTTTGCTAAATGTATTCATGCTAATTATATGTATTATTTTATGTTTTAAAATATATCAACAATTATTTTTTAAAATATGTTAATAATTATGTGGGTACATTATTTTTTTGCTATAATTTTTGTGAAGAACAATACAACAA